GAAACAATCTCTGGGGGGTACTTTTTCTGCGCCTCCGCCTGGCGGAGAATTTTCCTTGAATTGGGACACTGCACCCTTGAGTGCTAAATATATACCGCCCTCATTTGACGTATCATCTAGAATTAAAGATGGCAGCCCGCTACGGTGAATCAACAACGAGAGAACCTTCTGAAATAACTGCTGCAAAAACAGAAGCAATAAGAGTCTGTGAATTGTAAGATAGTGTTCTGAATATCTGAAATTTTTTTCTATCGAGAAAATGCAATAATGTCATATTTGGGGCACTACTGCACCTAACGTTGAACATCTTTCGTACACTGTTCCCACCATGGACACATGTCATGACATGTGGTTCAGCTTATCAATACTACTATACAAGGCAGAGCTCTCAGGATTTATCTACAGGGTCCACCATTGACCTTCTCTTTACATATCAACAGATGTTAGTGGAAGCCTTCACACAGGACTTAATCCTGTTGGGAGTGACCACCTGGCCCTTGCATTCCATATCAGTGCATTAATCAGACCATCAAACCAAATAGTTTGGCAGTTTTTATCATATAAACAGTGTGATTCTGAGCATTTTAACAATCTTCTTAGCTTAGCTCCATCGTGTCCATGGAATTTGTCTATGGATTTTGACAATATTGTTGATGCTTGGGAAGGTTTTCTTGATCTTTTCAATGCTGTTGTGCGCGATGCCATTCCTCACAAAAGACGTAGATCTAAACGGTCCCGCCCCTGGATTGACAACGATATAAAACACCTCATCCTACAAAGCGCACTGCTTTTCGTATTGCTAAACATATTGGCTCAGTGGTCAAATGGACTCTGTATAAGAAGGCCCTTAATAAAGTTAAAGAAGCAGTGAACATTTCGTATTCAAGATATGTCAATGAACTGTTCAGTGATAAATTTGACAACAAAACGCTTCTTTGCCTTTGAGCGAAGTCAAAGAAAAGATCAACCTCCTTCTGTCATCAGCCATCAAGGTGCTACCATTCACAATTCTGATTTAATTGCTCACCTCTTTGGTAAATGATTCCATTTTTGTTCCCCCCAAAACAAACTTGCCTAACAGCCATCCTCTCTGTTCTCACCCAATTCCTGCCTTGAATGAAATCAAGTTCAATATTGGTGATATCGAGCAAATTGTTGGCAGCATGTCTGATGACAAATTGCCGGGTCCTGTTGGCATCACACCAAAAATCTTGAAGTCTTGCATCAATGTCATTTCACCTGTTCTTTGCAATTTCTTCAACATGTCTCTCTGCTGTGGAAAATTGCCTAGTATGTGGAAAAAATCCAACATCACACCCGTTTCAAATCTTGCGATGCCAGCGCCATTTCTAATTATTGGCCCATTGCTCTGACTTTGATATATTGCAAAGTCATGGAATCTATCTTTGCTGAAAATATCAGAGTTCATTTAGATGAGAACATTCTGCTATCACGTGACCAGCATGGGTTTATTTAGAATCATTCATGTGTAACCTAGCTCTTAAATGTCACAAACAACTGGTTGCATATTCTCAACAATCCTCAGACTTGTAAAATTGATGCAATCTTTCTGGATTTTGCCAAGGCTTGCTTTTGATGTGATGCTGCACATCTTACTTAAAAAGATTTCTCGCCCCTTCAACATTACTGGTAATTGGTGGCTTTGGTTACGATCCTCTATTTCTGGCGGATCTCAGCGAGTCTTGTACAGGGGCTCATACTCTCCATGGCTCCCTGTCTGTTCAGGTGTGCCTCAAGGTAGCATGCTAGGCCCTCTACTCTTCGATTTGGTTATCAGTGATCTCTCTAATTGTACCAAATCACCCACTGTTTTTTTGCTGATGATACTTTATTATATCGACCAATACATTCCCAGACTGACGAAGCAATTCTCCGAGATGACATCAAATAAATTACCCCAAAAGTATTGATAGGCCTAGGTGTAATAGCAAGTGATTTGGATGCTCTTAACAAAACTTTTGTGCTAAGATCCATGCCTAGTGCAGTAAAGGAAATCTTGAAATATTAGGGGCACTTTTGTCGGGAATAAAGAACAAAGATGTTTACTGGAATGTAACAGGTTACCAGAAGCACTGGCACAGGTTGGATGCCAGGCTTCATTCCATAATGACTGAAACGTAGAACAATCAAGGAGTCCAGCTGGGCTACAGAAGCATCAACTGTGAATTATATGCATGTGTTTGTTACAACCTTACTCGTCAATTGACCTTCTTGTACCCATTAGTTTTTAGAAGCTTGCACTTCCTGTTATTAGCTGTCCATAATGGATTTGCCTTGTGTCTTACAGATTTTTATTTCCACCTTAAATTGCTTTATTCAGGTGTCTAAAGGAACCATCGAAATACAAATGTCCCCGGTGTGGCGTGTTGTACTGCTCCTTGTCATGCTATCGTGGAGGAAAACATTCAGATTGCTCTCAAACATTTTATAAAGACAACTTCATGGAGATAATGAAAAATGAAAAGAAGAGGTAAACCATTATTGAAACAAATTTTGAAATTGAACAAGATTACCACTTTCATTTAATTATTACATAAAATGACAAATAACAAATCACTATGATATTGAAGCATCTAGAACTATTTGATATTCATATTGACTAATTACCAATTTATGCTATTTCAGTGAAGATGATCACAGGCGTATGCTTGAAATCCTACATCGAGTTGATGCTGAATACAAACCACTGTTTGATGATGGAGCAGAGATTGAGGAAGACGAGGAAGATAGTGAAACAGCTGAGATGTTGGAGGAGAGGATAGCTGGACTTGATCTTGGTATGTCATGATCCATTGTTACAATGTGGATTTGTTGCATTGGGCCGTTGATTAATTTTTTCAGGTCGTCATCCAATAGAAAGATTCTCTACCTATCAAACTACCACTCCCGTATTTCACACCTGGACCGTGTGGACATCAGCCTGCCCAGTCCACATTTACATCTACATTTACCTACCACTTCCTTATTCCACACCTAGACTGTGTGGACATCAGCCTGCCCAGTTCACATCTACATGTACCTACCACTTTCTTATTCAACACCTAGACTGTGTGGACATCAGCCTGCCTTCCCAGTCCACATCTACCTACATGCACCACTCCTTTATTCCACACCTTCACGTACACTGTACAGACATAAGCCTGCCTCCTAGTCTGCATATACATGGATTGGGATTATGTAAATCATAAGTCACATCATTAACCAGCTTATAAATGAGTTGGATAATGTAGGGCAGAAGAAGTGGTTGGAATGGTTTCATTGCAATTCCTTTCAAGAGTTTGTGACTTGTCTTTCGGGTAGATAAAATGGCCTAACTTATGATTGACTTGTGAAAAAGTTGTCTTAAATGCTTTAGGCCTCCTAATCTACTTGATTCCAACTAAGGTCTTGACATACATTTCATCTTTGACTTTGTGCCTCATTACCTGCCACCCTGCCTGTGTATCATACATTGCCATTCCCTGCTTACCGTTTTTATTAATCTTGTCCACCTACTAATGTCTTCCCATGGAGCTGCTTTCTGACGTTACAATTTGCTAATCTGTAAGTGTTTTTGCACTGACATGATAGTTTTTCTTCTTCTTGTTTTCTGTTGGGCAGACAAGGATACAGACCTGATCTGGGAACAGCTGACTGAGAAAGAGAGAAGGGATTTTGAGTCCATGTTACATGCAGGACACCTGGGAAACTTAGTACCCCTCTGGAAGGCATGGTGGGAGGAACATGTGAGTCATGTATTCAGATAAACTAGGAGGATGAAGGCATGATGGGATGCAGGGAAACTAAGAGGATGAAGGCATGAT